AGTGTCTTTTTTGTCTTGGAACTTTGGGGTTCCAGAGTCGGCAGCAGAGTCTCCAAAGTATTTGTCGATCATACACTCTTGACTCCTTTGCCATCCGTCGGTACTCACCTCAGAAGCGCTACCTCAGAAGCACTACCTTGCCGGTACTTTTCACCTTATAAAAGTCGGAATCCTTTTGCATTAGACCTGACGGCTTCTATTGAATAGAAAGTATACTTTGATAACTGTTCCTTATGACAGCTGGAATAATTTCCTGAATAATGCGGAAGTCAATATTCGCTTCATAAGTCCTTGGCACGATTGCTTATTTTATTTGCAGATACCTACTATTCGGAATCCGTGAATGCGGCCAATATCATTCAAATGTGCTTGCCACAGACAAATATAATTCTAATTGTACTAGGTCAGTGAGGTACTGGATTATATCCACGATGTTCATCAAACCTTGCGAATACATATTTAATTTTTTACAATGAGATATAGCCACATAGGTTTGAGAGAATAGCCCATCTAGCTGTATAATTTTTAATGATTTTATTGAATTGTATACCCCAAGCAGAGCAATACTTTGATAAATAAAATATGTCCAGATATTTTATCATACACCTCTTCTAATATTTGTTCACGTAGCACTTTCCATGTATCCTTCGCATGCTCTAAATTCTCTTTTTTTCTGAAGAGAAAAAAATATGCTTCCATTTTTTGTTTAATTTGTTTAATACCATTTTCCCATTTAATTGTTTAAACTCACATCTGCCAGAGGCATGCACATTTGTGCCATGTTGGACAGTGAGTTTTTTCCTAGTTGCTTGCACTCCCTCCATCCGATTTTCATGAGAAACCTATTCATTTGGAGATTTGTTATAAATAATTTGTGTGTGACACGTGACCACATAGCCCAGTGACGGGCTTATCAACAATTCTTTACATATTTATAGATTTTGTTGTGTTCATTTAAAGAAATATAATATTGTGCATAATTTTTGTTTTTTTATGCGATTTCTCTTTGCGTGTCATTTACACAGAGAGACACACACACTCCCAACATACCAACTTACACATTCACTTTGCAAAGGGTCAAAAGCCTGTTTGCTAGCAAGAACAACACGACCACCAAACAGTGCCCCCATCATCATCACTATTAGTAGTAGTTACAGCAGCACCACCACCACCAACTAGACCGACCTCCCTCAACTCAAGTGGGATAGTGGCAAAAAATAGAAAATAATGACATCACAGAATGAATTATAACACAATAGCACAGTACAATATATCAAAAAATTAAACAAATAATAGAGAGTATAAAAAAACAATAATAGAGAAAAAAGGAATTTAGAAACAAACATATTTTATAATTAATGAGGAGATATGCGGAATGGATGAAGGAAGTTTTAAGTTATTTGCTCCCGAAGAAAAAGAAGGAATTCGATATTTATCATAGTTTTAATTTTTGTGGACAAATGTGTGTCAATTGCTTTATTTGTATAGACCATTAGATGTTCACAATACCACCATTCTCTGAATTGAATGTGAACAGATGGTATTACCATTTGGTTTCTGCATTTCTAGTATGGCCAGGATACAGTCCAATTGAATACGTGGAATATCCCTAATGGCGACATTTTACTAAAAATTACAATTTCTAAGGTAGACAAAAGATTGCTCATGAGCTTCCCCGACGTGGGCGGAATGGATTGTTATATAGCAATCGATTCTACATACAGGTCTTTCATATCCATCCGATATTATGCTGTAGTCTTGCCTTCAAATGGAATGTGGGTGAAAGAGCACATTCAGTTTCTTATCATGTCTGCCTGCCTGTCCCTTTGTTTGACGACTTCAATTTGCCAAGCCATTGTTTGACCTTTCCATTTCTTGAGTGACGTTTGATATTTTTTTAAAGGTCGATGAAATTTCCAATTTGTCTACTCATCGTTTGAGCTGCTGGAGTTTTTTTTTTGTTTTTGAAGATTGATTTTTCCTATAGTAAACGTATTTAAAGAAAATCGCATGACTCTAGGTTTGATTTTTTCATAGGCAGGATTCGAGCACTTGTAAAGAAAACCAGTACGGAAAGTAGTAAAGTAGGATTGGACCAACTACATGATACCCTTCATCGCTTTGGGTATATTGTACATTTGTATCCTTACTATTGCATGTCAATGTTCTCTCGAAGGTACATACCCCTTCCTTTCTGCAACCTATGCTACATTTATTTCATTCGGACAGATTTAGAGTCGTCTGTGTACCATGGAACAAATTCATGGAAACAATTTATAGCAAAATTGATATTGGCTAATTGGTACGCCGCGCTGTTAAAAATTTAATCTCAATCAGATACCCGTTCGAAATACATATGGAAGCTATGGCAGCATCTGTACCAATTTCAACAATACGCAATAACGTCATTCAAGTCTTAATTTGACACGTTGTGCAAAAATCGTGTTAATACGCTGTGCCAAATTTCGTGCAAATCGAAGGATATAAGGGACTATGGTGCACTATTTACCAAAAATCGAACGAAAATATATATCGCAGCTATATCTAAATCTGAACCGGTTTTCACGAAATTTAACACACATCATTCTAGACTTAATCCAAATTTTGTGTAAATCGAAGGATATATAGGTACTTTGGTGCACTATTTACATAAAATTGGACGAAAATATATATGGGAGCTATATCGAAATCTGAACCGATTTTTCCAAAACTCACCACTCATCATTTTAGACTTAATTCAGTACGCTATGTCAATGCCCTGTCCGTTCTCATTGTACGCAAACGACTCTAAATCTGCCCGAATGAAATGAAATTTAGCATATGTTGCAGAAAGGCATGTGTCTGGTTTGATGTTAGTCGATTCAGTTATAGATAAATGCCACATATTTACATTCGTTCAATTTCCCTCGAAGGAACATTAACATGAAATTGTTAGGATACATATGTAGAATATACACAAAGTGGTGAAGGGTATCAAATAGTCGGCTTTACAACTTTCCTTACTGGTTTTACATGTTCTTTGTGAAATGGTATCTTGGTTGGTTGAGAGAGCCATGTTTTTTTTTTCGAAAAAAATACCTTTCTAAAAGGGTCTTCTGTGTAGTTGTGAGCTTAGCAGCCTTGCCTAAAAATACACTTTTATTTTCCAAATGAAAACTCTTAGCTCCCTTCAGATCTTCTATGAAAAAACATATGTTCTTCTCTCAAAAGATCATCTATTTCCTGATAATGCCCTGCTATCTATCCAAAATCAAATAAAACTCTTAACGACTTTCAGATCTCTACTATTATAAGACCATCTACTCATCTATGGGGATATCACCAGGAGTTCTTAAGGAAACTTTTCTGGAATTGAGATAAATCAAGAGTAATCATTGTAAGTAATGTATTCCATTTCAACCACGGTTCTTATATGGGGACTACCCCAAAAAAACGCGCTTAAGAACCCCAAAATACCGAAAATTGCGGGTGATCTTATATGGGGGCTATCCGAAAAAATGGACCTATATTTATATTTTTTTGTGGAGACATTTAGTACCCAATAAGAACTCAATGTACCAAATTTCACCGAATTCGGTTAAAAAACGCACCAAAATACCGAAAATTGGGGGGTACCGTTATATGGGAGCTATGCCTAAACGTGGACCGATATATCCCATCTTCGAACTTTACCTGCCTGCAGACAAAAGTTAAACATATGCAAAATTTCAGCAGCCTATCTCAATTCCTTCAGAAGATAGCGAGAATACAACAGCCGTCTTAGAATTTTACCCTGATCAAGAATTCTTCGATGAGTTTTTGCAAGGAGGTGGAGAGGGATTTTCTTCTAGGAGGGGGGATTTTCTTTCATAATTAGATCACATCATGACGTTAATTTCCAAAACGTTAATTCGTTCTCACAACAAGGCACCTTCATCTCCTACACAGTGAATTCTAGCTAAATACTTTGTAAGGATATATGAATTGTGTTAAAGGGATAAAAATTGAAATAAAATTAGTTTAAGAAACCTTTTCACATGAGCATCATATATGTGTATGACACACTGTGATATAACTTTCCACCACATTTATGCCAAAACAGCAAAATAAAAAGAAACCAAAATTTATTATCCTTTAACACTTGGTATCCTTTATTTTTTTGTTTACAATTTTTTAATGCTATTCTGTTTTCTTCGTTTCTTTTTTTGCAGTTTATGGATTTTTGGATTTGTCTTTTGCCAGTGGAATATGTAATAACGCTTGCTTAGGAACCCTTAGTTGTTCCTAAGGCAAACAGCAACAACAACTACAGAAAAACCCCCCCAGCTCAGAGCATAAGAAGAGAAAAAAAAGAACCAAACCAAGATAAAGAAAACGGATTTGAATTCTTGGGAAGAAAAACAAATTAGTGTCCTTTTTTTTGTGGTAAAGGAGTTACTTCCTACTCTCACTTGGTAGAATATAGCTATAAAAGAATTATTATTTTGTTGGGAAGACAACACCAGAAAATAGCTCATCCCACACAAAGAGGCAGTCTGACAGCCGCCTCCGACTCCGCTGCTGTGTTGTGTAGGAGAATCTAAAGTCTGTGTCATCATCATCATTGCCGCCAACATCGTCAACAACGAACAGCTGTCATTCTTTCTATTATCATCTGTAGCTACAACAACAGCGACTGGATAAAGAAAACATCACCATCATCACAGCCCCCTCGGAAGTATGAAGTTTGAACCACGACGTGTCCGTGGTCAGTCATCACCATCAGGTAGCGGTAGTGGTGGCAGCGGTAATGATAATTCCTCAACGACATCAACTTCCTCAAATACCACCTCGTCCTCGTCAACATTGGTGGGTGGAGGTGGTGGCGGCGTCGGTGTCGGTGGCGGAGAGTCATCATCATCTTCGTTGTCGTCCTCAAATCTAAGTACCACAGCAACTACGCATAATCCTGCAGAGCCAACAACTATTTCTTCTTCGTCGTCGGTAAATCCCACCACCAACACCACAGCCAACAACACAGCCACCATGAATAGCAGTAACAATTCAACTACAACAGATCCCCAAACAGAAATTCCTGGCGCCTTAGTGTCGGACACAACAGTGTAAGTAGTGAACCAAAGAAAAAATGAAACTACAAAAACAAAAATGTTGCTATTCTTTATTACGCTGCTTGATTTTCGTTCTAGAGACTAGAGGGTTTTCATATATATATTTTTATTTGTAATAGATGATATATGTTCGTCGTGTGTACATCATCAAATCCATACTCTTGTATATATGTATATATTGTAGTTGTAGTAGAGGAAAATTGTTAATAGTTTTTTTTTGTTTTTGCCTTGGTACTTAGTTCGTTTGCTAGCTTGTTGTGATTATTGTCCGGCCGGCATATTTTGTATAACAAAATGAGCAACGTTCTTTTCGCCTTCGATTCTTTTTATTTTTGTTGTTCTTATATTGTGGTCAATAGTTTGCGTGTCTTGTCGCCGTTTAACCCTTAAGATATGACGTTTTCTTTTTTGCCTTCTCCTTCTTCTATATTTCTTTCTAACAGTAACTATTGCAATTACTTGGTATAGGGCTAGGCTGAGCTCTCTGTTCCCTTATGGGAATAAAGGTTACTCTCTGTATTATAGTCCATAAACATCGAAGTTTTACACTGAATTTCAAGTCCTTTTTAGGGTTTTCAATATGGATGCTACGATTAGGTCTCAAAACACAATTATAGTTGGTCTTCGAAAAGAAAACTTTGTTGGTATTGTGGTCTTAAATGAAACTATGTTTTGTTCTTCTAGGAGAGGACTTTCTGTATTCTATCCATAGAATATCTTCTTCTCACTGTGCATGAATAATTTGTGGTCTCCTACAAGTAGACCATCTTAATGTTAAGTCCTTTTTTGGTTTTTCAATAAGGAGGCCACGATTAGGTCTCAAAACACAATTATATTTGGTCTTCGAAAAGAAAAGGTATTGTGGATGTAAATGAAACTATGTTTTATTCTTTTAGGAGAAGACCTTCTGTATTCTATCGAGAAAATATCTTCTGCTCACTGTGCAAGAAGAATTTGTGGTCTGCTACAAGTATACCATTTTTTGCGTAGAAAATCTTTTGGTCTTTACGGAAAATTCTTCATTTTTATAACCTTTGTGTTTCCCTTTGTAACTTATCGAAGTAATCATTTCCGACCCTATACGATACATATATTCTTGATAAGCCTAAAATTCCATGACGATCTAAACATGTGCGTCTGTCAGTTGTATCGAAAACGCGATTGCCGAATGTGCCCCAGTCTCCCCTACCTAGAACTTTAAAATCTCCTGCGGAAATATTTTTGGTTCATCTCAGCTAAGATCTTTTGGTCATCGAAAGGAAGACCTTTTGCTCCTTAGGGTTTTACAAGGAGAGGGATTTTTACAAGGAGAGCCATTTTCTTCATGGGTGATTTGGTGATATCATGGCGTTAATTTCCAAAAAGTTTAATCGTTCTCACAACAAGGCACCTTCATCTCCTACATAGTGAATTCTAACTAATTACTTTGTAAGGATATATGAATTTTGTGAAAGGATGAGATTTATACATTGAAATATATTCATTGTTATACCCTCCACCATAGTATGGAGGGTATATTATGTTTGTGTTTCCCTTTGCAACTCATCGAAATAATCTATTCCCACCCTATATGATATATATATATATATTTTTTGATCAGCCTAAAATTCCATGACGATCTAAACATGTCTGTCTGCCTGTTTTAAATATTCTAGCCTCTTAACGAATTGAGATAGATTGCCAAAATGTGCCAAAATTGATATAAATTGCAGGACTAGTTTTTTTCTGCATGCAGGTCAAGTTTAAATATGGGATATATCGATTCACGTTTAGACATAGCTCCCATATAAGAATTCATACCTTTTTTCGGTATTTTGGGGTTCATGAGAGTATTTTTCAAACGAATTTGCTGATATTTGGTGCATTGGGCTCATATTGGGTACCAAATTTCTCCACTAAAAACTATAAATATAGGTCAATTTTTTCGGTTAGCCCCCATATAAGGATACCCCACAATTTTCGGTATTTTGTGGGTTTTTATTGTATTTTTCGACCGAATTATGTGTAATTTTGTACTTTGATTTCGTATTGCGTAGCAAATCTCTCCACTAAAAATTATAAATATAGGTCAATTTTTTCGGTTAGCCTCCATATAAATGTACCCCACAATTTTCGGTATTTTGGGGTTATTGAGACCGTTTTTCAACTGAATTCCCTAAAATTTGGTACATTGAGTCCTTATTTTTCTCTACAAAAAATTATAAATATAGGCCAATTTTTTTGGTTAGACCACATATATGGGTTCACCTCCATTTTTCGGTATTTTGGGGTTTTTGAAGCGTTTTCAACCGATTTCGCTGAAAAAATATAGGCCTACTGTTCCTGCTAGCCCCCATATAATGGTACCCCACAAATTTTCAGTATTTCAGAGCGCGTTTTTCAACCGAATTCGCTGTAAGTTGGTATTTTGTAGTCGTATATGGTAGCAAATCGTCCTCCCAAAATTATTAATGTTCCGCCTTTTAGGGATAGTCCTCATATAACACCTTTTTATATTAAAATAGTTAACTGATTTGTTCCGTGTATTGGAGTTGTGAATATATATAGCATTTAGACTTCACCCCCAATATAATGATACCTCCTGAAGGAAAGTATTGATATACAAAACTAAATAAATAGCTTCTGGGGAGAATATTCCAACAAAAAACTAAGGGAACTGATGGGGATAAATGGCCAGATCTACGGCTATAGTTTTCCCTGCCTTACACCTCGGCGGACAATGCCATACATTCCCCATTAATATATATTTTGGACTTCCGGTTTTCTATTTAAAGAGCGTCTTTTTGATATTCTATAATCTTTAATAAGAAGTCCTTCTGAACATCTATGAGAATAATCTCTGGTCTTCCAAGAGAAGGCGTTCTAATCTTCTGTAAGTAAACTTTTTTTATGAAAAGAACTACTGGTTTTCCATGAGAAAGGCCTTCTAGCCTTCCATAAGAGCACCTTTTGATTTGAAGACCTTCTGGCGTTCCATGAGAACACCTTTGGATTTTCTATGGTTATATCAGATCTTATATTGAATACCCTCTAAACTTATTTGAGATGATTTTCTGGTCTTCTATGAGAAGTTCGTCTGGTTTTCTTTGTGTCGACCTTTTGCTCTTCTTTGAGAAGAACTTCATGTCTTCTGGGAGGTAATATTATAGTTTTAAATGTTTTTTTTTTTTTTTTTTTTTTTGCAAATTCCTTCTATAAGAGGGAACTTCGGGTGGTATATGAGATCACCTAAACCAACTGGTTTTCTATGAGAATATCTTCTGGCCTTCCATAAGAACACCTTTTGATTTTTTATGGAAATATCAGAGAAGACCTTTCGATAAAAAAAAACGTTTTTATAAAAAATTCTGGTATTCTATGGGAAATCTTTCTGGTTTTCTTTGAGAATACTTTCTGGCGTTCTCTTCTATAAGAGAGGACCTTCAGGTCGTAAATCACATAATTTCAGATTGTCTTTAATGTTGAGACTTAACATTTTGAAATACATTTTCGTATCGCCGCTTTGCCAACTACACACAATGCAAATATATATTTTTTCTTTTCAATTGTACTCAAGGCCAATAATTATAGAATTGTTTATTTTGGAAAAAGATCTCCTCCGTTTGTTGTTTATATTTTTCTAAAATTAAAACACTTTGTTTTTTTTTTCATTGCAACAGCGAGTAAGTGTGTCTAGTTTGCATTTCTTCTTTCTGAACACCATTCACTTCCACATGAAGAAATTGTAATTTATGTAGTTTGTTTTGCGTTAAATTCATTTACATATATATTGTCACGCAATATTTTGGATTGATTATATATATATATATATGTTTATGCATGTCCGTTCGTCCGTCCGTCTGCCTGTCCGTTTGTCCATGTATTCTCGTAAACAAAGTACAGGTCGCATTTATGATCTGAATGAGATGAAATTTGGCACAGCTCACTTATTTGGCCCAAGGAGAAACCCTATTGAAATTGAAGAAAATCGGTTCCAATTTAGATATAGCTCCCATATATAGTTTTGTCCGATTTTAAGTAAATAGTGCACCAAAGACCCATAGTTGGGCCTTTTGCCACAAAATTTTGCACAACGTACTGATGTTAGTATAGCCTTATGTATGTCAATTTTTGTTGAAATCGGTTCAGATTTAGATATACCTCCCATACATAGTTTCGTCCGATTTTAAATAAATCATGCACTAAAGACCAAAAGTTATCCCGATTTCCACAAAATTTTGCACAACGTACTGAAATTATTATAACATTACGGGATTCAAATTTTGTTGAAATCAGTTCATATTTAGATATAGCTCCCATGTATAGTTTCTTCCGATTTTAAGTAAATGGTGCACCAAAGACCAAATGTTATCCCGATTATCACAAATTTTTGCACAATGTACTGAAGTTAGTATAAAAAAAATCGACCCGGTCAATCATAACACCTAATGTCATCAAAAATTTATTAATAAAAAAAAAACGAAATAAAATAAACAAATTATTTTAATAAAGATAGACACAAATAATAATAATTCTCATTGTGTTTGCCATTCGTTTACGGTGGTTGTGGTCACCAAGTAAGAACAAAATAGTCATCTATAAAAACAGCAACACCTGATAAGAAATCTAATTATAATGCAAAAATAATATACTCCATCCATGAGCCGCCAGCGTATCCCCCCGCTCCCTCATCCACACTTTTCTAGACCTCTATTTTGCTAGTAGACATTTGTTTCTGTTTGTATGTTTATCAAAAATGCAGATACGGACACAAACACACATACATACCAATCTCTCCGGATCTATATTTGTTATAAAAGAAAAGAAATGATTCATAATTATGTATTTGCCATTATAATTATTATTGGTATTTTTGTTATTGTTATTATTGCATATTCTTATTATTTTGTTTTCTAGTGACGATAATTGTTCTATGCCTTTTCAATTCTTTTTTTGGTTATTGTTTATCAAATTTTCCAATTGAAAGAACTTTTTCATAACATTTGTTTTTGTTTTGGTTTTTCAATTTTTAGATCGCCGGAAAAGTTGATATCATCATTTCCCACAAAATCGCTAACATCACTAATACAGAAAATATCCAGTCCACGATGGGTTGTACCCGTTTTGCCCGAACAAGAATTGGAGGTATTATTGAATGCTGCCATACAACTAACAGCTGCTGGTAAGTGTTTTTTGAAATGCCATTTTTTTAAGATATTCAATTTATAATCAAGCTTGATTTGAGAATATATATATATTTATATATAGTTTTTTGGAGGCATATCGGAGCTTTATTAGGGAATGGGTTATTTTTCCAATACAAAACCAGTAAGAAAAGATCAAAAATTGTACGGGACCGACAATATGATACCCTCACCACTTTCGTGATAATATGTACAATATCCTGTTTATAGAAGCCACATAGCATCTTTGGAAGACCATTGATATGGAATCGGGTAGACTTGAATTTTTGGTGTAACATTTGTATGAAATCCAGAAAATCTTATATAGGGGGGGATATATGTAAACCTAAACCGATTTCAACAAACCTTCACACGCACAACAAACAGGACTTAATTCTGCTGTGCAAAATTTTGTCACTATCAGACAAATATTTGGAGGTTGGTGCACAATTTACCTAAAATCGGACGAATCTTTATATCTAAATCTGGACCGATGTCAACAAGAAATTTTTAGATGCCAAGCTGGACTGAATTCAGTACGGTGTACAAAATTTTGTCCCAATCGGACAAATATTTTTAGTTTGAGTGTACCATTTACCTAAAATCGGACGAATCTATATATGGGAGCTATATCTAATTTGAACCGATTTCAACAAAACTTCGCATACATAAATTTTGACGTAATCCTGTACGCTGTGCAAACGTTTGTGCGAATCGGCTTAACTTTGTGTGTTTGGTGCTCCATTTACCTAAAATCTGACGAAAATATATATAGGAGCTATATCTAAATTTCAACCGATTTCAACAAAACTTGGCATATATTAATCTAGACCTAATTAAATTCTCTGTGCTAAATTTTGTCTCAATCGGACAAATATTGGCAGTATGGTGCTCCATTTACATAAAATCGGACGAATCTATATATGGGAGCTATATCTAAATCTGAACCGATTTCAACAAATCTTCACAGATGTAAAACTGGACTAAATTTCGTACGCTGTGCAAAATTTTATCCCAATCGGGCAAATATTTTCTGTTTGGTGCACCATTTGCATATAATCGGACGAAACTATATATGGGAGCTATATCTAAATCTGAACCGATTCTAACAAAACCTCGCATACATAAATTTGGACCTAATTCAGTACGCTGTGCAAAATTGTGTGCGAATCGGCCTAACTTTGAGTACTTTACTTACCAAAAATCAGACAAAACTATATGGGAGCTATATCTAAATCTGAACCGATTCCAACAAAACTTCGCATACATCAATTTGGACTCAAGTCAGTACTCAGTCAGTGCAAAATTTTGTCTCAATCGCACCAATATTGGGAGTTTGTTGCACCATTTACATAAAATCGGACGAAACTATATATGGGAGATATATCTAAATCTGAACCGATTTCAACAAAACTTGGCATATATTAATCTAGATCTAATTCAATACTCTGTGCTAAATTTTGTCTCAATCGGACCAATATTGGCAGTATGGTGCTCCATTTAAAATCGGACGAAACTATATATGGGAGCTATATCTAAATCTGAACCGATTCAGTGTGTTTTGGGATTTTGATTTTTATTTTCGGAAAACTTTTTACCTCACTTTTGTAATCATTTTAATTATTAATTTATTTCCCTCTCTCTCCCTCCCCCTCTTCTCTCATCGCCAGGTGTCGACCACGACTGTGAACCATGCGTTGAATTTTATCGCAACGCCCTGACCACATCATTTACCAAAATTCTCACAGACGAGGCTGTCAACTCATGGAAATATGCCATACATCATTGTATTCTGATCTCCTGCGGCAAGCTATTGCATCTGATTGCCATTCATATGACTCGCGACAATCCATATTTGTTGGATTTATTGGCGTTGGTCTTTGATCCGGAAAATAAATACAATACCTTTAATGCAGCCCGCCAGCCGGAATGTTTTACACCACCCGAATGTCTGTGGGGTGTGCTGGATGGTAATAAAATGTTTGCCAAATCACCACCCGAGCCTAAAAATCCACGTGGCTGGTTGGTGGATTTGATAAATCGTTTTGGTCAACTCAAGGGTTTCGATAATCTACAAGAACGTTTCAATCGTGGCCTTGTCCTATTGCGTAAACAGCAGGAACAACAAGCTGCCGCTGTGGCATCGGGTTGTGCCAAACCCACAGGATCACGGGCAATGCTACAACCAGATCCAGAACAGGAGAATAAGTTGACATTGGCATTAATCTATAGTTTGTTGCGTCCCTTTGGCCAATGTTATGAACTACTGACTCCGGCCACAATTTCCAAATATTTTATGCCCATATGGAAGGTGGTTTTGGATCTGCTCGACAGCTTCTCCGATGAGGAGTTGAAACGTGAAGCCAAACCCGAAGGACGCAATGACTATATAAATGGTATTGTCAAATCGGCACGGTATTTGGCTAGCCGCCTGCCTGGCCAAGAGGAGTTGATACGAAATTTGGAAATGTTTCGCTTGAAAATGATACTCAGACTGCTGCAGGTGTCCAGTTTTAATGGCAAAATGAATGCCCTCAATGAGATTAATAAGGTGTTGACATCGGTGTCGTACTATTCACATAGGACACCACAATTGCCGCACTGCATGTCCGATGATGATTTGGATTGGTTGACAGCGGAAAGAATGGCGGTAAGTTGCAAAAAAGAAAAAAAAACTTCAAATGAAGATAATTAAAATTAATTTTACCACAGGCCTGGATCAAAGAATCCGATGTCTTGGGCATTGTCCTCAAAGATTCCCTACATCAGCCACAATATGTAGAGAAATTGGAAAAAATCATTCGATTTTTAATCAAAGAACATGCTTTGACCCTCGAAGACTTGGATGCCGTGTGGAAAGCCCAGGCTGGCAAGCATGAAGCCATTGTTAAGAATGTGCATGATTTATTGGCGAAATTAGCATGGGATTTTACACCAGAACAATTGGATCATTTGTTTGAATCATTCCAGGTAAATGATAATCTCTTCTTCTACGAAATTTATTTTTATATCAAATTGAGAGCCGAGGGGAAATATAGTACGGCTGCTTTAAAATTATATTCTTAGAACACAACTGTGTTTTTTTGTCACAGCAATATTTTGCTCCTTTTCTAAACCCCCTAACTAATTATTTCTATTTATTTTTTCTTTCTCCCCACTTTCCAGGCCAGCATGACAACGGCTAATAAACGACAACGCGAACGACTTTTAGAATTAATTCGACGCCTAGCAGAGGATGATAAAAACGGTGTTATGGCACAAAAAGTGCTGAAACTTTTCTGGACACTGGCCCACAGTCAGGAGATACAGCCGGAAGTTTTAGATCAAGCCTTGGCGGCTCATGTCAAAATTCTCGATTATAGTTGTTCACAGGAACGTGATGCACAAAAAATCGTCTGGCTAGAAAAATGTGTTACCGAGTTGAAAACCGGCGAGTCATGGGTCCTCCCCGCACTGCGTCTTATTAGAGAAATCTGTTGTCTCTATGAATCATCACCAAGCCATGCACCGCGTTCACAACAATCGCTCAATCGTCAGCAGGTCATCGAACGGCTACAAAATGAATATTCGCTGGTGATTCTTGTTACCAATAGTCTCACCTCGTATATGGATAAAATACGCTACATGCTGGCCGAAATGTCCAATGTGGATCCGGCCACACTGTGCATAGATGGACGATTTCCACACAATATGCAAATATCGGAACGTTTGGATTTTTTAAAATTCCTATTGAAAGATGGCCAGCTGTGGCTGTGTGCCGATCAGGCCAAACAGATATGGCATTGTTTGGCCGTCAATGCCGTGTTCCCCTCCGATCGTGAGGAATGTTTCCGCTGGTTCGGCAAACTAATGGGCGAAGAACCGGACTTGGATCCCGGTATAAATAAGGATTTCTTTGAGAATAACATTCTGCAATTGGATCCACATCTACTCACAGAATCGGGCATCAAATGCTTCGAACGATTCTTTAAAGCTGTTAATTCCAAAGAGGATAAACTGAAGGCCATACATCGTGGCTATATTTTGGACAATGAAGATCTAATTGGCAAGGACTACTTGTGGCGGGTGATAACCACCGGAGGTGAGGAGATTGCCAACAAGGCCATTGATTTACTTAAGGAAGTGTCGACGGCATTGGGGCCGCGTTTACAGGAGAACATTAGTGATTTCCATGAAATGTTTATTGGCGAATGTTGTGAACGGCTGCGTACCCACTACTCGAACATCTTGATACTGGGGGGCAAGTCATTGGGCGGTGGTGGTGGTAATGTAGAGGTCTCTACCGATGACAACAATCAGGCCGATCAAAATGATTCTAAAGATTCTAAAATGCGCTTCATCGAGGCGGAGAAAATGTGCCGAATTCTAAAAGTTCTACAGGAATACATCAAGGAGTGCGATCGTTCATTTAATGGTGATCGCACTATGCTGCCATTGGTCCGGGCAACCCGTGGTAAATTTACTAGTCTTTATATACGTTTTCAAAATCCTGGACGTCCCATAGATGACATTGAGATAACCACCCACAACAATGAAATGGTCTCGTCATTTAAACGTAATCTACTGAAACGGATTAAGGGCACATCCACGGCCAACATCAAAGTGGATTTGCATTATAACAATGGCGAATTGATTGAGATAGGCGATGAAATAAATCCCCTATCGCACTATTCGATAAGGGATAAAATGATACTGACCGCCAAGTTGACACCAATTGGTGCCGGTTTGGCCAGCAGTCCAGACACCTCTAGTGATTCGAGTACCGGTTCACCGCCGCGACCATGCCCCGATATGTCACGTGTCGAATCGGAAAGCACCCTACCGGGTGTTATTATTTCACAAAATTTCCAATATATAGAATTTTTTCTCAAGCTCTATCAGTTGGGTAGCGACTTGGAACATGGCCGTCTAAGGGAAAGTGCTAAAATGTTGTTGCATTTATTGCCATGTGATCGGCAGACGGTGAAAATGTTACAGATAATGTGTGGAATGCCGGAATCTGTGGTGTTGGGTAGTGGTGGTGGGAATGTGGCCGCCTTACCAGTGTCGGGTAATAATGGCTCAAATAATGTTGTAACCAAAGATGATGAGACAACAAGTGGTGGTGGAGGTGTTGGGGTTAATATACCAGTTACTGGTGGAACCGAAGGTGGTGTTCAAACACAACAAGGCAGTTCGGTAAATGAACCGGTAAGTTGAAATACATTTTTAAATATTAAATATCAAGGCGTAGATTTTTTACAGAATATTTTATCAAGGCGTAGATTTTTTTTACAGAATATTTCATCAAGGCTTAGATTTTTTTAAGAATATTTTTTTCAAGGCTTATCAGGGCTTAGATTTTATAAAGAATATTTTTTCAAGGCGTATTAAGACTTAGATTTCTTAAAGAATATTTTTTCAAGGCGTATTAAGACTTAGATTTCTTAAAGAATATTATTTCAAGGCTTATCAAGGCGTAAATTAAAAAATTCAAGGCGTAAATTTTTTTAAGGTATATCAAGGGGTAAATTAAAAAAAAATTCAAGGCATATCCAGGCGTAGATTTTTTAAAGAAAAAATGTTCAAGGCGTAATTTTTTTAACGAATATTCTTTTCAAGGCCTATCAAGGCGTAAATTTTTTAACGAATATTCTTTTCAAGGCCTATCAAGGATATCTTTTTATCTTTCAAGGTCCTAAAGAATCGTAGATTTTTTTATATAATCGTGGATTTATTAAATATAATATAACAATAGAATTGTTATTAATTTTTCTCCCCTTTTTTCAGATCAACCCCCAGGATTGCACTCCCGAAATGCTATTTTTACATCCCACCCCAGCTCAGGTTCACTACAACCTCTGTGTGCTTAATAGCCTGCTGATTCCTGCTCTCGAGCCATTCGGTGAAAATGCTTTACTTATACAATCGTCATGGCTGCATTCAGGTTGTGCCCATTTCATATTGGAACTGTTGACCAAAAACAACTTCTTACCCAATGCCGATATGCACACGAAGCGGGCCTCATTCCAGTGTGTATTGCGTTTGGCCAAATTATTCCTGTACATTGTGGGCTGTGTACTGTCCCGTGTGGGCGATGAACCGACCCTGTGCGAATACGACGTTGGCTCCCGATCCCAGGTGGATATTCTAAAACAAATCTTAACCTCAATACCAAATACCTCAGAGATTACTTTAAGAGCCATCTCACAGAAATTGGCTGAGAACTTAGCTAGTGAAATGTTATCGGCTAGTCCTGAGGGTGAACGTTGCCGTGTTCTGTTCGCCAGCACCCTGCAATGGGCCTGCCCAGATATATCGACAATTAAGGCTGTGGTGCAATTAGCCTGGGCCTCGTCATGTGGCAATCTACAGGCATTGGGCACAAAGAATGATTTTGCCGATGACAACTCCACGCCGGATAGTCAAGATTTTATGGTTTGTAAGGAGGCTTTAGAGGTTCTGACCATTTCGTTGGTTCTCAATCCAAGTGCCAATGAGGCGCTGAATGCAGATCCGCTGTGGCCGAAATTTATAACTTCGCTGATATTGAAAAATCAATCGCGACATGTACGCCAGGTGGCTGCCGAACAGTTGTTCTTGACATGCACCTATTGTGCCGGCGATAGAAGACCCTTTGCCTATATGGTAAACTTGCTGGTTAGTTCGTTGAAAACATTGGTACCCCAACATGAGGCCACCTGTGCTGATTTCTTCCAATTGCTATGTCGTACATTGTCCTATGGCTGTTTGGTCAATTGGCCATTGAATATCGGTGAAGGCCTGCTGGCGGAGGAAATCAAATGGTTGCAAAAGATACGTGAAAATGTAACCACAACCGGTGATATACAGGTCCACGAAGATCTGCTGGAAGGTCATTTGTGTTTAGCCAAGGAATTGATGTCTTTCCTGATGCCCGAAACCAAGGCCCAACTGAACGATTTGATACACGAGCTAATCGATGCATTCTTGTTCACTGCGTCCAGGGAGTATTTGCATTTACGTAAAACTGGTAAATTGAAAACTGAAACTGCCCCTCCTCCGGTGTGTCGTAGTCCACATACAATAGCAGCTGCCTGTGAATTATTGATAGCATTATGTCAGAATTGCGTTCCTAATATGAAATTATTAACGAATACTCTAATAGATTTTGTGTGTACAGGTAAGGGCGAGAGAACTAAGTGTCTCTGAGAGATAATAATTTATTTTTATTTTTTTCAGATACCGATCCCTTACGTGAATGGGATTACTTGCCACCCGTGGGTCCCCGACCAGCCAAGGGTTTTTGTGGTTTGAAAAATGCCGGTGCCACGTGCTATATGAATTCGGTGTTACAACAACTGTATATGGTACCCTCGATACGTGTGGGTATTTTAAAAGCCGAGGGCGCAGCCACCAACGAAAATGAAGATTTTAGCGGTGAACCAGAAGCGAATGTCATGGGTGGTGGTAGTTCCGTTGCCGGTTCAGCTCTATTCAATTCCAATAATGATGACAACAATGATTCGCGTAAAAATTATCATGTCGTCATCCTGAAACATGTACAGGCCATTTTTGCCCATTTGGGACATAGTGCATTACAGTTTTATGTGCCACGCGGATTGTGGACACATTTTAAGTGAGTACACCACCGTCCGCTCTTCACAAAAAATATTAATAACAAATGTAATTTTAGACTCCAAGGTGAACCGGTAAATCTACGTGAACAACAAGATGCTGTGGAATTTTTCATGTCTCTGTTCGAAAGTCTAGATGAGGGTCTCAAGGCCCTGGGCCACACCCAGCTAATGAATGCCACACTCGGTGGTTCGTTTAGTGATCAGAAAATCTGTCAAGAATGTCCTCACCGTTATTCGAAAGAAGAACCCTTCAGCGTCTTCAGTGTGGATATACGGAATCATAGTTCATTAACTGAATCTCTAGAGCAGTACGTTAAAGGTGAACTCTTGGAGGGCGCTGATGCATACCATTGTGATAAATGTGATAAGAAAGTAAGTCCCAAACATCAAACACACACACATAGCTTCCCCAAGCTCATAATTAATTAAAATATTTTTTTATTTGATTCTCAGGTAGTTACAATTAAGCGGTTATGTGTAAAGAAATTACCGCCCGTATTAGCCATACAATTGAAACGTTTTGAATATGATTACGAGCGTGTGTGTGCGATTAAATTTAATGATTACTTTGAATTTCCAAGACTTTTAGATATGGAGCCCTATACAGGTATATTTGAAAATTTCCCAATTAATTATTAAAAGTTTTGAATTATTAATTTTGTTGTTGTTATATTATTTCTTTCCAGTATCTGGCCTAGCCAAACTTGAGGGCGAAGTAATCGAGGTTGGTGATAATTGCCAATCGAATGATGAATGTACCAAATACGAATTGACTGGTATTGTTGTGCACAGTGGTCAGGCATCGGGTGGCCATTATTTCAGTTACATTCTATCAAAGTAAGTTGCAAAGATGTTAAATATTTATGTAGAATATGATTGTCAGTTGGTATGATGGACCAAAGAACTTGCAAAAAAAATATAAGTCGAAATTTAACACTAATTGGGATGTATATAAAGAATGGTCAGATAAAGGCCAGACATCAATGAAACCCCTCAAGTGTTGACGATCCAAGATACCGCCCGTTAACGAAAGCCTGGAGAAGCAGTCGGATCTTCTCCTCAACCTTTTAGAGGAAACCGGCTCCTCGCCCTTGTCAGACGAGGAAGACATCATGGGAACTACAGTGATTAGCACTACGGTGAAAAACACAGTAACGACCATGGCGTCTCCTCCGAAGCAAGGAGAGTCCTCCCAGTTGCTGACTAGGGAAGTAAACCCTGGCGATGTTGAAAATCTGCACTCAATCTCAAAAACTCTGTCAACGTAGATTTTTTAAAGAATATTTTTCAGAAACTCAGACAAGCCTATATTTCTAGCGCCCCGATTGATCAGATATTCTTGATCAATTTCCTGTCGTGTGTGGGCTAGCCTCCAACGTTCTTCGTAGATTTTTTAAAGAGTATTTTTAGATACTCAGACAAGCATAGATTTTTTAAAGAATAATTTTTTCAGAGACTAAGCCAAGCATATATTTCTCAAAGAATATTTTTCAGAGTCTCAGACAAACGCAGATTTTTTTAAAGAATATTTTTCCGAGACTCAGACAAGCTAGATCCCTGCGAAACAGACGGCTCGGCCAAAAATCTCCAAGGAGGCCTCGGAACCGAGCAAAGTAGCAGAGTAGGCGAAGCCCACTGTCTCTGACAAATGTGTGAAACTGACTTTTGACCCGAAGCCTAACCCTAGTCAAAAGGCAATGAAAAAGGCAACACAGACTGTCATCCATAAGGGGTGATAGACGTGTGGAGGTCTCTGTCTCAAAGACCGATTCTAAGCCAATTGACAAAGGTGAAGCGGTTGGTGCTATATAACCTCAATAAATAGTGCAAAAAAAACTATTTGTTTTATTATTTATTTTATTCATAATTAAATCTGTTTCCCCCATTTCCTTGCAGGAATCCCTCCACTGGCAAAGAACAATGGTATAAATTCGATGATGGCGAAGTAACCGAATGTAAAATGAACGAAGACGAAGAAATGAAGGCGCAATGCTTTGGCGGCGAATATATGGGCGAAATATACGATAGCAATTTGAAACGTATGCAATATCGTCGTCAGAAACGTTGGTGGAATGCCTATATGCTATTTTATACACGCTGTGATCAGAAACCAATACAATTTGAACCGAGTGTAGAACAGCTTTCATTAGCCGAAAGTCGTAATTTTGTATTGCCATTGCCAAAACCGATTGAACGGAGTGTTAGGTAAGGACGACTTGGATATATATATTTTTCATTCGAATATAATTAATGTGCTGTTTTTATATTTGGCATTATAGGAATCAGAATATACGTTTCTTGCATTCAAGAAGTATATTTTCTGTAGAATTTTTCAATTTTATTAAAAAATTGGTTAGTTGCAGTATTCCATCCCTAAGGGCTGAAAAGGTGGTAAGTAACAAGTGGGGAAACAATTGAATTTAAATTTTGAAATTAATTAAATTTGTGTGTTTGCAGACCCCCTCCGCTGAAGAACTATCCCTATTGGGTGTCCAATTGGCCTCACAATTTCTATTTCATACCGGTTTTCGTACCAAGAAAACCTTGCGTGGACCAGTCATTGAATGGTAGGTTATCCTCTTTGTTTATTCAATATTTTATTTAATTATTTTTGGGATTTTTTTGTTGTCCTACAGGTATGACACCCTATCACATCACATACGCTATTCATCGGCGGTACGCAAATGGTTTGCCAGCAATGCATTACTTAGTCCACCAACCCGTCTGGGCGAATACATTTTAATAGCACCCTCGCCCGAAGTTCGTACTGTTATTGTTAAATTAGTTGTATTCTTTTGTCATTTTGCCATCAATGATGAGCCGCTGGCTGGCTATGAGGGCAATAATTTATGTGAACAAATTCTCATAAGTGTTCTTAAGTTATTAAAATGTGAAGTAGCAGATCATGGTAAACATTTGCCACACTATTTTAGTTTATTTAGCATGTATGTTGGTTTAGGCATACAGGAGAAGCAACAACTTTTAAAGGTGAGCTGAGAAGTTCTCATCTCTTATTCTTTTTTTTTTCTTATTTTAATTCTTTTTGTTCGCAGTTAAATGTTCCCGTTATATTTATGCAAGTGGCTTTGGATGAGGGACCTGGTCCTTCAATAAAATATCAATATCCCGAATTGAGTAAACTACATCAAGTTGTATCACAATTAATACGCTGCAGTGATATATCCGATAAATGTCAATCATCAAATGCCCAGGGAAGACCGCTACCGAATCCTTATAAAGATCCCAGTATAAGTCATGAAGATTTAATGCCTTTATCACCAGAATGTGTTGATATCTTGTTCAATAGGACGGGGTAATTATTTCCACATTTAACTATTTCCTTTCCATAACATCATCTCATTTCTATTTCTCTTCTACCCTTCCCCACAGTTACATTAAAAAACTCATCGAAGACACAAATGTGGGCGAGGAGGGTCTCAAACTTTTGCAGTATTGTAGTTGGGAAAATCCCCATTTCTCTCGTGCCGTTCTCACTGAACTGTTGTGGCAATGCGGTTTTGCCTATTGTCACGATATGCGCCACCACACTGAATTGCTGTTACACATTTTGCTAATCGAAGATTCGTGGCAACATCATCGCATCCATAACGCTTTGAATGGTGTGGCCGAGGAACGGGAGGGCCTCTTAGAGACAATACAACGCTCGAAGACACACTATCAAAAGCGGGCCTATCAAATCATCAAGTGTCTTACCCAGCTGTTCCATAAATCATCTGTGGCATTACAAATGTTAAATTCCAATCCATCGGTTAGTAGACATTGGATAATTGCCGTGGAATGGCTACAGGATGAATTGGATCGTCAGCGTGGCATTGGATGCCAGTATAATTCGTATTCGTGGTCACCACCGGCTCAAAGTAATGACAACACAAATGGCTATATGTTGGAGAGGTCACATTCGGCAAAGAATACCTGGTCGATGGCATATGAATTGTGTCCCGAGGAGGTAAGTCTCTCATCACTTATCAATTTTCTATCAAAAGATCTCACAATCGATTATTTTCCTAAAGAAAAATCATACTATAGATAGTTTTGCTATAGAAAAATTCCACTATCGATAATTTTTTTATAGATTACGATTACTTTTCTATAGCATAAATATATTATTTATAATTTTCTATCGAAAAATTATCGATTATCGATTTTAGAAAAATCGCACTATCGATAATTTTCCTATAGAAAAATCGCACTATCGATAATTTTCCTATAGAAAAATCGCACTATCGATAATTTTCCTATAGAAAAATCGCACTATCAATAATTTTCCTATAGAATAATCGCACTATCGATAATTTTTCTATAGAAAAATCGCACTATCGATAATTTTTCTATAGAAAAAACACACTATCGATAATATTTTTTTTAGAAAAATAGGACTTTTGATAATTTTTCTATAGAAAAATCGCACTATCGATAATTTTTCTATAGCAATATCGCACTATCGTCAATTTTTCTATAGAAATGTCGCATTATCGATTATTTTTCTATAGAAAAATGTCACTACCAATAGTTTTCCGTAAAAAATATCACTATCGATAATTTTTTATTTCACTATCGATAATATTTATATACAAAAATCCAACTATCGATAATATTTCCATGAAAAATCACACTATAGCTAATTTTTTATAGAAAAATCTAAAAAAAAAATTACTGTCGATAGTTCTTCCATGATCAATAATCTTATTTTTCTTCAGCAAAATGGTCTAAACTGACTCTTCTATAGAAAAAAATATGGATACCTATTTGTATTCTATAGAAAAAATATCGATACGTATTTTTTCTATAGAAAAAATGAATTTTTTTATCGATAAATGATCGATAATTACATTATTCATTGGAAAAATTATCGATAATGTCAACTTTTTACAGAAATTATATCGATAATGAATTTGTTCTATGGACAAATTATCGATAGTAAATTTTATATATGGAAAATATTATCGAAAAAGATGGATATTTAAATTTTTCCTATAGAAAAATTATCGATAATGATTTTTTTTATCGAAAAATTGTTCCTGTAGTAAAATTATCGATATTGAGATTTTTCTATAGAAAAATTATCAATAATAAAAATTAGCTATAGAAAAGTTATCGATAGTGTATTATTCTATGCAAAAATTATCGATAGTAATTTTTTTCTATAGAACAATTATCGATAGCGAATTTTTTCAACAGAACAATTATCGATAATGATTTATTTTATAGAAAATTATCGATAATGATTTTTTTTATAGAAAATTATCGATAATATTTTTTTTCTGTAGAAAAATTGTCGATTATTTTTTCTAAAGAACAATTATCGATTATGATTTTTTTTTTAATTGTGAACTTTTTTCTACAGAAAGATTATCAATCGAAATTTTGTTTATCGAGAATTTAGGAAAATATCAATAATAGCATTCCTAATTGAAGATTTATCGAATTTAATTCTTATTTTATTTCTTCTCTTTTCAGGAACAAGAAGAAACCAATGAATCCGATGCTGAAACCAATGAAGAAACCCAAAGACAACAACAGCAGCAACAATCGCAACAACAACCACAAAATACAATCAAATCGTCAACTGGTGGCGTCGTCGGCACCACTAATGAAAAGGAACCAGATTTGAATATAATTGCCGATTTGATTAGTAAAAATATGACATTAGAAGAAGAACAGCAGCAGCAACAAGAAAAACAAAAACAACTGATGATTTCTCGAAATGCACCAAATGTCAAAAAACTATTGGTTGGGGTTCCACCAGGTGGATCTAGTGGCGGTGAATGGATGGGTAGCGGTAGCAATGTTACCAATACATTTGTTAACACCGGTAGTGGTGGTGACACCAAATCAAATGTTGATAATTCCACAACATCGACAACAGCAACAACGGGGTCGCCATCCTCCTCAACGATGGCCGTCGTGACTGAAACTCAAACGGAATTATTTAATATAAATGGTTTAACTAGCACCTTGAAACATTTGTCTCTATCGCCAAAAACGGTAAGTTGAATAGTGGTGGTGGGAGGTAGAACCAAAGCAGTCTCCTTTTAGCCTTTTGTTTCGGTTTTGAGTGAGCAATGCAAAATATGTTGATAAACCAAAATTTATGTTGTTTGGCATTCTTGTTCTAACATCGTTCCCCATTTTTAATTGTTTTTGGATATTTTTTGTATTCCAAAATAAATCTCTTTTTAATTCAAACCATTCCAAAACCTTACCCTTCCTTACCTTGATTGTTGTAACAAAAAATCTCTCTCATATCCGCCAACCTTAAAAAACCAAACAAAACAAATAGCGTTCAATGGGCAACAGTAAACAGCAACAACTTCAACAACATCTTCATCAACAACAATTACAGCAACATCAACAACAATTATTACTCCAACAACAACAGCAACAACAACAACAGAAACAACAACGCGGTAACACTTCAAGCCGTTTAGTATGATTTGCTGTGCCAAGTTAGTTTGATTTCCTTTGATTTTGTTTCGTTTCATTCTCCATTTCCGTTTTTTTTTTCGTTCACATTGAAGAAGAACTACAGCACCAACAAATTGCAATTTTAATAAAAAATCAACGTGCATATTTTAACTAATTTTTGTTTGTTAGTTTGGCTATCTTTCTTTTTGTTTTTGTCTAATGGCTCACTTTTTATGTATTGCCACCAAGAGCAATCTGCTGCAGCCGCCGCTATTGAGATAAAATTATGCTTAACATTTTTAGTTATCACATATTTGATTAGTTTTCTTTTTGGGCATAACAACGATTTATTTTTGTATTTTTTTTTCTAACTAAATAGCAAAGCAATTTCTCTGTATATGTCGCACCTATGGCCGCCGCCTTTTCTAACAACAATTTATAGATAGTATTTTTGAATTGCATTTCTGATTTTAGCGAATTGTGCCTGTATGATAATTTGTCCTCTTGTAGAGCTCTAGCAAAAATAATTGTACAATTTTGAATTACTTTTGACGACGTAAGTGCAAGAATTTCCAACGTCTTCCGGGAGGGCAATATAAAATTATCCACTGCAAAGTCTACTGTGTCACTTTTCACACCCTGGACGTGAGAAGTCAATTTAGAACTTGACATTTCCGTTGAAGGTAGGCGCATCCCCACCGTCCATAATCCGAAAATCCTTGGGGTGGTCTTCGATAACCTCCTTAATTTCTCCTCGCATTCCAATTACATCAACCAGTAGGTGAAAGCTAGGAATCAAGTTCTAATAGCTTTGGCTGGCACCTCCTGGGGCAAAGATAAAAAAAAAACGTTGGTAACGACTTATAAGGCCATAGATCGATCCATCCTTAATTATGCTGCCCCAGTCTGGACTTCTTTCCTTAGTGACACTCAATGGAGATCCTTGCAAACAACCCAAAATAATGCACTACGAATTGCAACCGGCTGTGTTCAGATGACGAGTGTCGATCACCTCCATGAGGAGACCAGGATGCTGGCAGTCAAACAGCATAATGTGTTGTTGACTAGACAGTTCGTGCTGGCAAGCTATTTGTCGGGTCATCCTAAATATCACACAGTAATGACAGATCCACTTCCGCGACACATCGGCAAGGACTTCAGGCACTATCTTGATGGAATCCAAGACGTCGATATTGTCGATAGCGAACGCGATGAAATTTGATGCAATAAAGTCCTAAAACAACATCCCCCCCTGCAATTTCGGAGAGTGAGAGGCTTCAATTCTGGCACAACTAAAGTCCGGATACAGCCAACCTGTTACAACAACAACAGGGTATTTGTTTATAATAGGCAAAAGGAATCAAATCCAATCCCATGGTTCCTTTTGAGAATATGCATAGAATCACATTCTGAGTCGAGTTTTGCATGTCCGGACGAACACTATTGAAATTGGAAAACAAGGACGAACACTATTGAAATTGGAAAAAATCGGTTCATATTTAGATATAACTCCCATATATATTTTTGTCAGATTTTAAGAAAATGGTTTACCAAATTTCCAATATTTGATTGAGACAAATTTTGCACATCGTACAGAATTATAGCCAGATTGAAAAATGCAAAATTTTGTAAAAATCGGTTCAGATTTAGATATAGCTCTCTTATATAGTTTAGTTCGATTCTATGTAAATGGTGCACCAAACCCCAATATTTGTTCGATTGCCACAAAATTTTGCACAACATACTTAATTAGGTCCAGATTGAAGTATACAAAATTTTATTGAAATCGGTTCAGATTTATATATAGCTCCCATATATAGTTTTGTGCGATTAAAAAAAAAAAATAGTGCACCTAGTGTCCGATTTTATGTGAACATTGGCCCAATTTTCCAGGTAGCCACATATAATGTTAAACCCATTATTCAGTATTTTGGGGGGTTTGTGCATGGTTTTCAGCAGAATTCGCTCTAATTTGATTTATAAAAATTCTTAAAAGGTGCCAAATCTTCCCACAAAATTTATCAATGCCAGTTTTCGCTTTCGTATAGCTCCCGTAGAGCGGTAGCGGTATTTTGAAGACTTTAACCGCATTTTAGTTAGGATAGCGGTTCTACTCCTGTTTTCTCTAATAATCGTTGTTAAATAATGGTATTGAATAAAGAATTATTAATATACTTTAAAATTTCTTTCTTTTCTCTACAAAATTTATTTTTTTTAATTATTTCTTTATTTTGAATAAACTGCAACGGCTTGAAATTGCGATTCACTTTTCTTTTGGCATTTAATAAAAAAAAAACAATAATTCACAATGCGAATAATTTAAGAAAAAAATCACCAACACATTTACACAATCACACACCCACACATTTAATAGCCGCTTACCTATTTTTGTTTTTAATTTTCACCAACAACATTTTCTGTTTGAAATCAAAAAAGAAAAAGCTTGTCACTGTTGCGCTTGGCATTATTGTTCATTTATTTCAATTCGAGCAATATCACTTGTTAATGTTTATTTATTATTATTAGTAATATTATTTTATCTATCAAGCCACCAAAATGTATATCACTTTCTAATGGACTTATTCTACGAATAAGAGGTCTTCTATACATAAAAAAAATCTTTAGAAGATCTTTCACTTCAAGAAAATCTATTTCTATTTGTATGTATAGAATAATTCTAAATTCAGACCCTTCTATAGAATATTTGTAAATTGTTTTCGATGTACAGAAGACCTTCAGATGGCCTACAATCTATAGAAGACCTCTAACCACTTTCGCATGTTCTTTTACATTTATATGCTTTAAAGTTAAATTTCGATTTACAGAATAAATTCTGGTGAGATGCTATCCGTAGAAGATATCTAGACGGTTTTTTTTAGCTATAAAAGCTCTCCCATTTACAGAAGATCCTTTGTCGGTTTTCTATATATTTATAGAATGTAATACTTTCAAACTTTCGTATATCCCCAGAAGGTCTATAAACGAGTTATTATCTATAAAAGACAGTATGGAGGTTTTCGAAGCTGTTAACTACCGATAAAATATCTTCAGGTGAACCTAAAGAACAAACAAGACTTTTGAAAGCCGCACAAGCCCTTACAGGACCTCTTCAAAGCCGGACAAGGCCTCTTCAAGGCCTTACAGGACCTCTCGAATAACTTACAAGACATTTTAAAGACTTTCAAGATCTCTTGATAGCTTTAAATACCTCTGAAGGTCTGACAAGAACTCTTGAAGGACTGAAGTCCTGACAAGACTCTTTGAAGGTCTTGCAAGATCTCTTGAGGGTCTTACAAAATCTCTTGAAAGCCGCACAAGGCATCTTCAAGTCCTTACAGGACCTCTCGAATGACTTACATGACCTCATTACAAGACCTTTCAAAGTCCTGACAAGGCCTCTAAAAGGCCTTATAAGATCTCTTGATGACTTAAAATACCTCTTGAAAGTCTGACAAGACCTCCTGAAGGCTTTACAAAACCTTTTGAATATTCACGAGACTTAATGAAAGTCTTACAAGACCTCTTGAGGACTTAAAAGACCTCTTGAAGCTCAGACAAAACCTCTTGAAGGCCTTACAAAACCCTTGAAAGTCCCACAATCCTATTCAAAGCTTTTGAATGACTTACTTGACGTCTTAAAGGCGTTACAAGACCTCTTGAAGTCCTGACAAGACTTCTTGAAGGTCTTACAAAACTTTTTGAAGCTCTGACAAAACCTCTTGAAGGCCTTACAAAACCCTTGAAGTCCTGACAAGGTCTCTTCAAGGCTTTTGGATATCTCTTAACAAAACCTCTTGAAGGCCTTAAAAGACCTCTTGAAGCTCAGACAAGCTTGAAGCTTACAAAAACTTTGAAAGCCCCACAAGGCCTTTTCAGGGCTTTTGAATGACTTAAAGGTCTTACAAGACCTCTTGAAGACTTAAACTCCTCTTGAAGTTCTAACAAAACCCTTGAATGCCCCACAAGACCTCTTCAAGGCTTTTGAATGACTTACACGACCTCTTGAAGGCCTTACAAGACCTTTTGAAGTCCTGACAAGGCCTTAGAAGATCTCTTGATAGCTTAACATACCTCTTGAAGATCTGACAAGACCTCTTGAAGGCCTTACAAAACCTCTTGAAATCCTGACAAGGCCACTTTAAGGCCTTACAAAACTTCTTGAAGGTTTTACAAAACCTCTCATGAAGTTCTTGCAAGGCACCTTAAAGGCTTAAAAAGCCTCTTAAAGACCTGACAAGTCCTCTAGTAGGTCTGTCAAGTCCTCTAGAAGGTCTGACAAGACCACTTTAAAATCCTCTAATGGTTTTAGTAAGTCTAGAAAATGTCTGGAAGATACTGCATATGGAAATACATATCTCTTGAACCTATTGTTCGCAGCATAATTCTTGGAAAGTGGTATAAATAGCTTGAGTCAAAAATTTAGCCTCTTTAAATAAAAAATAGAAAATATTTTTTCAAAACCTTACTAATAAAATATTTCTTTTTTTCTCATTTTCGCCCACCCCCTCAACCCAATATAGTCCGTCAGCGGCGTCATTAGCAACACGGATATGCCAACAACCACAGCAACAAATATCATGACGACAAACAGCAGTAATACAGTGACAACAACAACCACGGCAACCATGAAAAAGGACAATGATTTATCGACAACCACAACAACAAATATTTTTAATGTACTCAATAATCCGGCTATGAGGAATCTGGGAACACTGACAACAACAAATGTCGTGGGTGGTGGTGGTGGTAGTAATAATGCTGTTGATCATTTGCCGACTGTAAATACAACAATAAATGACCAACAACAACAGCAACAGCAAACGGAACAAAAACAACAAAATATTGAACAGCAGCAGGAGCTGACAACAACAACAACCAATACGTAGATGAAGTTGAAAAATATTGAAATATTATTTAAATTCTATGCAAAAGGAAAGAGCAAACGAAAGAAAACAAATAAGAGCAACAACACGAAGCAGAAGAAGAAGAGAAGCAAAACATTTTTAAAAAATATAATTAATAATAAATATATAATATAAAAACAAATCAATTTGATGAAACAAAAACACAACAACAACAAAGAAAAAAATAAACAGAAAAAAAAACAAAAAGAAAACAATGTTCTTTTTTCACACACACTAAAGAATTAATTAATTATTAAAATATTATTAAATAATAATTACTATTAATTTAATATAAAAAGAAAACAAAAACAAATAACAAAAAAACTTTACCGCTCCTTCAAAAAACAAAATTCTCACACAAACACACATGAAAAATGTCGTCCCCCCAAAAGTCCCTTAAACTATTCAAACGAAAACCTCTCCCTTTCACAAACTTATAACAAAAAATAAAACAAATATTCTTAAAAGAAAAAAAACAAAACGATATTGAAATTAATAATTTTTTTATTTTATTTTATTGATTTTTAATGGAATTTTTTTATTATTATTAGGTATAATTATGTTCATATTGTGGAGAATTTATGGGGTCTTTAATATTGGAGTTTTAATAGATTTTTTTCAAGGCCTATAATTGATTTTTTTTATTTGATTTTGGATAAAAATTTCTTGAAAGAATGTTTTCAATGCCAGCTTATAGCTCTCTATACAAAGGCTCCAAGTAATGTACTTTGAGGGGGAAACAAATTGGCGCCCTATCATTTAAGATGTTTTGAATAAAAAAAAATAAAAAAAATAATTTTAAGTGGACAAACGACTTTCTGACAGAAAATCTTTAATAACTGACCATGGTCCTGGTCCTGATTGCATTTTGCCGCCTATGTTTACCCTCCTGCATAAGTCGAAGTCTGTTTCACATTTGTCTGTTATTATACGGCCACTTTTTCCATATAACGGTATTGATAATTTCGGAAACGTTTGATAAATCTAGACCGATAGACCTTTGCTATAGCTTCATTACTTTATTTGCATTTTGATGACTCAGGCGAGTTTATCAACCGTTGTTGATATACATTTTAGCATTACGAATTGGGATTCGGGGACCTTGGTGGGTAAAAAACTTCTGCACAGAACATTTCCAATATAGCCCCCCATACGTCAGCCGTTATTTTCGGTATGACCAAGGCGTTAGCACCATTTTCTAATATGAGTGCCTGAAGTTTAGTGAAGAGTATAACATTGTTTTAATTGTTATAACCAAAACTTTATGGATAATGAGAACCCATACATGTTGATACGGCAAAAATGTGGCTCATCGGACTATTGTTTTTACACTCCACATTTCTTTGGATCAAATCGGTTTCAGACAATTTGGAGTTTATTTTAAATAAAGGCTTAAAATACCTCTTGAAGGTCTGACAAGATCTCTAGAAGGCTTTTTGAGACCTCTTGAAAGCCGCACATGACCTCCTCAAAGACTTACAGTTCCTATTGAATGACTTACGTCTTGAAGGCCTTACAAGATCTCTTGGAAGTCTGACAAGATCTCTTGAAGACCTTACAAAATCTCATGACGGTCTGGCAAGACCTCTTGAAGACCTTATAAAAACTCTTAAAGGTTTTGATACGGCAAAAATGTGCTTCATCGGAATAGACCTAGACCCTATGTTTTTTTTTTTTTTTTTGATCTTTTTGATCAAATCCGTTTCAGACAATTTGGAGTGATTTTAAATAGAAGGTTTTACAAGACCTCTTGAAGGCCGCACATGGCCTCTTCAAGCGCTTACATGACCTTTTGAATGACTTACATGACCTCTTGAAGTCCTCACAAAACCTCTTGAAGGTCTGACAAGACCTCTTGAAGGCCTGATAAGAACTCTTGAAGGCCTTACAAAACCTCTTGAGGGTTTTGCTACGGCAAAAATGTGTCTCATCGGAATATTGGTCTTGAGGCCTTACAATATCTCGTGATGAATTATAATACCTCTTGAAGATCTGATCAGATCTAGAGGTTTTGTAGGCCTTAGAAAACCTCTTGAAGTGTTGACAAGACTTCTAGATGGTCTTATAATACCTCTTGAAGACTTAATAGAACTCTTAAAGCTCGGACAAAACCTCTTGAAGGCCTTACAAAACCCTTGAAATAATCACATGGCCTCTTCAAGGCCTTTGAATGACTTACATGACGTCTTGAAGGTCTTACATGTCATCTTGAAGCCTGATAAGACTTCTTGAAGGTCTTACAAGACCTCTTGAAGATCTGACAAAACCCCTTGAAGGTCTTACAAAACCCTTGAAATCCTCACAAGGCCTCTTCAAGGCTTTTGAAAGAATTACACTACTTCTTGAAGGCATTACGAGGCCTTTTGAAGTGCACACAAGATTTCTTGAAGGTCTTATAAAACCTTTTAATGGCTTAAAATACTTCTTGAAGGTCTGACAAGACATCTTGAAGGCCTTATAAGACCTCTCAAAGTCCTGACAATACTTTTTGAAGTTCTTGCATGGCAATTTAAAGGCTTTAAAGACCTCTTGAAGGTCTAACAAGTCCTCTTGGTCTGAAATGATCACTTTGAAAACGTCTAGAAAACGTTGGGAAGATATTTCATATATAAAAACATATCTCTTGGACCTATTATTCATAGAACAATCCTTGGATAAGGGTATTCAAAATGGCTTAACTCAAATACAAAGAAATCGAAATTTTATTGGATCAACTCGTTTATGACAATTTGGAGTCGATTTAAAAATGTGCATTCAAACTTATATTCGAAGTTCGAAGATGGAGTAATCGGTGCATTCCTTCTGGTACAAAATCGTTAAAATTTTGCGAAAATGTATATTTTTTGAACGTTCCCATGCCTCACTTATAATAACTGCGTCCGTTCCCATTTGAACAAAACTTTGCACAAGCTAATATTTTAACCATGCCTGTATTATGTTGAAAGATGAGACTTATCGGCCCACTCCTTCTAGTACCACCCCCACAAAGGGTCAACATTTAATTTTTTTTTAAATCTAGTATTAAGCGAATGGAATGTCAGGTTTGACCCAAACTATACACATTTTAGACCAACATACATTATGTCCGAATTTGGGACCCATTGGTCCACTCCTTCCGGTACCTTACCCACAAGGTGTCAAAATTTTGAAAAATTGTTAATTCGATACCAAACAAATGGAATGTCCGATTTGTCCAAAACTTTGCAATTCGTAATACTTTTACCAAATCTAGAGGATGTCCGAAGATGGGACCCATCGATCCACTCTTTCTGGCACCTCCCCCACAAGGTGTCAAAATTTTGAAAAATTGTTAATTCGATATCAAACGAATATAATGTCAGATTTGATTCAAACTTTGTAAATCATATTATTTTTACCAAACCTAGATCATGTCCGAAGATGGAACCCGTCGGTCCCCTCCTTCTGGTACCTCCCCCATAAAATGCAAACATTTTGAAAATTTATTAATTCAATACCAAGCGAATGGAATGTCCGATTTGATCCAAACTTTTCAAATCGAAATATTTGTAACAATCCTAGATCATGTCCGAAGAAGGGATCCATCGATCCACTCCTTCTGGTACCATCCCCACAAAGAGTCAAAAATTTTGAAAATTGGTTAATTCAATATCAAACGGATAGAAAGTTCGATTTGATCCAAACTTTGCACATCATAATATTTTTACAATGGCTAGACCTTGACCGAAGATGGGACCTATCGATCCACTCCTTCTGGTAGCTCCCCCACAAGATGTCAATATTTTGAAAAATTGTTAATTCGATATGAAACGAATGGAATGTTCGATTTGATTGGAACTTTGCAAATTGTAATACTTTTACCAAACCTAGATCATGTTCGAAGATGGGAGCCGTCGGTCCATTCCTTCTGGTACCTTCCCCACAAGGTGTCAAATTTTTTGAAAATTCGTTAATTCAGTATCAAATATATTAAGCGAATAGATATTCTGTAGACCCCCGCAAACCATAGGCTGGGGATATATATGTGTCGGCGAATTTTAAACCAGTGTGTACAAATTTTGTAGACTTCCGCAAGCCATAGGCTGAGCCTATGGCTTTGTGCCTATGGTCGGCAACACCGATTGACACCTTATTACTTGTTTGGCTTATGACTTATGAGATAATTAAATTCTATATTTTGACAATACTTCTTTTCTGGCTTCTTACAAAATACCTTTTGGTCCTATGGAATTATAAAATGGTCATCCAAGAGGAGACCTTTTGATCTGCTATGAGAACAAAATACTATAGTCAGCTGTAAAAGTTATTCAAACCCCGTTTTAAAAGAGTTTGTGATAAGAAGAAAAAGGTTTGAATGAAATAAATAAATTTTATAAAATAACTATTTAAAATATTTTCATGTATTCTTAAGAGTGTATATTTTTTGAAAATTGGTTTAAAATATTTCACGATATGTCCTCTCACTGTAGAGGAGAGAGACGACATAAATTAAGTCTATGGAGATATGCTAGATTTGACATTAAATGTTCCTTATTGATTTATATGTTCTAACTTTTTTTTAGTTTACAATCCAATCTCTCCCAAACTAGTAGATTTTTGTATACATTTTTTTTAAAAAAACAAAAACAACACAACTCCAACTTAACCCCATTTAACATGTTATAAATATAAAACCCCCACACCAAAACACACACCGAAGTCCAACACAAAATAAAAATTAGACATTTTTTTAAAACTCATTCTATGACAGATTTATAACTAAACAAACAAAGAATAAAATGCGAATTTTTAAAACATTTTTTTATTATCCCTTTTCTTCATCCTTAAAACACATAAAAAACGAACAAATAATAGTAGAAAACAAAAAACGAGCAAATTCGAAAATAAATCTTTCTTTTTTATTTTTTTATAAACGAAACAATTTAAATAAAAAAAACAAAAATAAATAAAATCATATATATTATATATTTCAATAAACCGAAAAACAAACAGCAACAATAAAGTCTACATAAAGAGCAAAACAAAAAAAAAAAAACAATTTTTATTTATTATTTAATAATTTTTATGTTATATAGAAATTAAAATAACAAAAAATAAATAAAATCGATAAAAATAAATAAATATTATTACTACGCTTTATAAAAGAAAGAAAAAAACAGAGAGAAAAACTTAAATTCATTATAAAAGAAAATAACATTTAAAAAATTATATATAAATTCAAATATATACTTATATTATTGATACGAAGGTAATATATATAATAATAACAAATATAACAAAATAAAAAAACGAATAAAGAATACATTTAAAAAATAAAAAAATATAAAATAAAAACTAAATGTTATAATGAAACAAAAAGGAAAACCAAAACAAAAACACAGAAAGAAACAAATAAAAACAAAATTAATGTGAAATAATTCTTAATTGAAAGGTGTTATTTTTATATAAGGACAATGATTCGGATTAGGCAATCCTATTCTAAAATAAACTCCTCTTAAAATAATTACAGGTGGGAACAGGAGGTATTCCAGCCGATATTTGAAACAACAACTTACGGATGGCGTTTCCACGACAGAGGCGTCTACGACCCGAGTTTTTCTCGGCCAACGTCTGTCACCTCAGCCCACTGTGTAAAAGCAATAGTGCTGCTACAACAACAACAACTTACGGATGAAAAAAATAGTATGGATACCACACGGTAAGTAAAACGTCACCCTATAGTGAAATATTAAAAAAAAGAAGTAAAAAGTGTCAATAGGTGTTGACGAACCCAGCCTCTGGTTTATATGTTTTTTATCGAATAGTTGAAGATGTACGACATAAGGTTGCTCTATAGAAATCAATATCTGAGCGGAAGGTACCAGAAGGAGTGGACCAATGGGTCCTATCTTCGGACATGATCTAGGTGTGGAAAAACGATGTGCAAAGTTTGGGTCAAATCGGACATTGCATTCACTTGGTACTGAATTTTTCAAAATCTTGAACCTTTGTGGGCGAGGTACAAGAAGAAGTGGATCGATGGGTGCCATCTTCAGACATGATCTAGGTTTTGGTAACAGTATTACGATGTGTAAAGTTTGGATAAAATCGGACAATCCATTCGTTTGATATTGAATTACAAAATTTCCAAATTTTTACACATTGTGGGGGAAGTACCAGAAGGGGTGGATCGATGAATCTCATCTTCGGACATGATCTTGGTATTCGGATATGATCTACAATTGGTAAAAATAATACGATATGTAAAGGTTGGGGCCATTCGGACATTTGCACTCGCTTGGTATTGAATTAAAAATTTTTCAAAATGTTGACCCCTTGTGTGGGAGGTACCAGAAGGAGTGGACCAATGGGTCCCATCTTCGAACATGATCAAGGATTGGTAAAAATATTACGATGTGCAATATTGGGATGAAATCGGGCATTCGATACGTTTGATATTGAATTAACAAATTTTCAAAATTTTGACTGTTAGTGGGAGAGTTATCCGAAGAAGTTGACCAATAGGTCCCATCTTCGGACATGATTAAGGTTTGTTAAAAATTTTGACAAATTGTGTGGGAGGTACCAGAAGGAGTGCAACGATGGGTCCCAACATCGGACATGATCTGGCCAAGGTAAAAATATTATGATCTGCAAAGTTTGGTTCAAATCTGACATTTCATTCGCTTGATATTGGATTAACAATTATTATGATTTTAATCGTTTGTAGGCGAGGTACCAGAAGGAGTGGACCCATCATCAGATTTGTTCTAGGATTGGTAAAAATATTACAATTTGGAAAGTTTGGGTCATATCGGACATTGCGTTCGCTTCGTATTGCATTAAGAAAGTTTCAAATTTTTTACACTTTGTGTGGTAGGTACCAGTAGAAGTGGACCGATGAGTCGCAACTTCGGACTTGATCTAACCAAGGTAAAAATTGTATTATGTACAATGTTTGGATCTAATCGGTCATTCCATTCGCTTGATATTTGTATAACAAATAAATTGAGATTTCTACCCTATAAAGGGAATATATCAGAAGGATTGAAACAATGGGTTCCATCTTCGGACTTGATACAGTCTTGGTAAGGATAATAGGTTGGACAAAGTGTGTTTCAAATCGGATAGTCCGTTCGCATGATATTACAAAATTAATTTTCAGCAATATTTTGACCATTTTGTATGGGAGGTACCAGAAAGAGCGGACCTATATTCCTCATCTCCGAACTTGATTTATGTTTGGAAGAAATACTGTGATGTGCAAAGTTTGGATGGAATCAACGGTTACTCCCTTCGAGAGTTATCGTGCGCACAACAGACGGACGGACATTTGTAAATCTACTCCAAATTATCTGAAACGGATTTGATCCAAAGAAACATGGGGTCTCTAAAAGCAATATTTCGACCGAAAGTTCCGATACTTGTTAGCCATATGTCTCACAGATGATAGTAAGTCCAAATATCTTAATTAAAAAAAAAAAAAAACTATAAAGGTCGACTTCTCATGACTGTACCATTAGTCTTTTCCATGTAGGACCCAAAATAGCTAAATTCGCTTTCATTGGTTTTAGTTGATAAGATCCTGGATAGAAGCCAAAAACCTCTAATTTTTTGAGAAGTCGGCAAATCCCAAAATGTTCCACAGAATTGCTTCACTTCGTTTCAGGCAAATTGGTTATCCCATAGACCCCCAAAACACATATTCCATTCGTTACAAATAATAACAGAACGTCTTTTTTTATTATTATTTATCTAAAGAAAACTACAATCACAACAAATTGTTTTCACTTAATTTACAAGATACTACAATAAAAAAATACATATAAGGGATTTAAGAAAAAATAAATGCAATAGATATGACACCCATAGATATATTTATACAAAATTAAGAAAAAAGGAATTAATTTTTAAAATAAATGCAATTTTTAATCTGGTACAATTAAAAGTCCATTAGCAGGGCCAGGCCATTAGGTTTCCACTTAATTCTTCTCCGCCTCTTCCTCTTCAAAGGTAATAACAGCAGCACCCTTGGCCACATTGGAGCCCTCAGCACCACCAATTGATTTAATAACAGCATCCTTGGGAGCCTTCAAAATATGTTCCATTTTCATGGCAATCAACACCGCCAAATTATCACCCTTCTTAACCTTATCACCAGGTTTTACCAAAACCTTTTCCAAAACACCTGGCATAGGAGCGACAACCTTCGAACCAGCACTACCCAATTGATCGACGGCGGCGTTGAGGAATTTCGGCTGGACCAATTCAAATGTCAATTTGCCATTATCCAAAAACACTGTGACTTCCGATTCATCAATATAGGCATTATAGGTGGAAATATTATTGGCAATATTAGAACGAATCTTAAGACGTTCACCATCCACAATGCGATCAGCTTTCACCGAATACCAGCTGCCATTATCGATTTGTATTTCAATTTGTTCACCATTAAATTTAACATTAACTTGATAGGTTTTATCGTTGGCCTTAAGGGTGTATTGGCGTATGAGGTCATAGTTTAGACGTAAGTTGGGAGAGGCAGCGAAGGGATCGGCGTTGTTCAAAGTGTTCACCTGTGATGCTTGCAATTCATTGAAGACCAAGGAGAGGGCTGCCTTGCACAATTCGTTGTCGGAAATTTGAATTGGTGGGAAGAGAGTGTCGAAATGTTGATCGATGAAACCTGTGTGGACATTACCCGATTGGAATTCAGGATGTGATGCCAAATCGATTAGGAAATTGATGTTGGTTTCCAAACCGGTGATCTGTAATGAATACAAACATAAAAAATGATATGCAGATCCTTTAATAGAAGACTAAAAAGCTTTTCCAATTGAAAAATAAAAAGGCCTTCCAAGAGAAGATTTTAATCTCTTCTTATTGAAGACTAGGACTTCTAATTTAAGGCTTAAAATATCTTCTAATAGGAGGTTTTAGGGACTTTTATTAGAAGCCTTAAAACATGTTCTAATAGAACACAAACATTTTTTAGAGGTCTTTTGATATAAGAATAAGAAGTCCTCTAATAAAAGACTAAAAACGGTCCTCTAACTAGAGATTTAAAACATAAAAATGTCTTCTTAGCAACTTCGAACTGGACATCATACAGGATAAATTTTTACAAAAGCCCAAAAAAAGCATTTCACTAGAAAACTCTAGGGGACTCATAATGTCATGTTCTTGTATCTCTTAATGCCTTCTTTTAGAAAAAAAACGTCTTTCCATGTAGGACCCAAAATAGCTAAATTTGCTTTCTTTGGTTTCAGTTTTCAAGATCGTGTATAGAACCCAAAAATTTCGACGAAGGCCAAATAACTTTCTCCCAAATAATTGTCAATCCAAACATTTTCTTTTAGAAGACTTCAGAGACCTACTTCATATTCAGGCAAATAGGATTTTCCATAGCATTTCTGTAAAAAATTCTTGGGGATTCCTAAAGTCCTCCTTTTTCTTGTATCTCTTCATGTCTTCCTTTAGAAAAAAAACCCTCTTGAAGTCTTTATTTAGGAAATTAAAAAAAAATCTTTCTTCGATTTTCGGTTCCTCATTTTAAATACAATTTTCTTATATTCCAAACCTCTAACTCGGGAGCCTGCATATACAAGGACGTTTTACCCGCTTCTGATACTACCTACGGTACTACCCATATCAAGTGTCCCAAACTTACGATGATAGAGGAGGAGCTGGTCATCTCTGTATAGAAGACCTTATTCATTCAAAGTGGCTGCATTGCTCGGAGGCCTATATTTGGCCCGAATTAACCTTTCAATGTATGTTTCGTGCAAAAGGCTACCTCTAACTTAATTCCAAACTTCTACTCACATGATATTCCCGCAGGCGAGCAATCAGGCTATTCAAAGCCTGTGAACGATTTTCACCCCATACAACCAATTTGGCTATCATGGGGTCGTAATGCACCGAGACTTCATCGCCTTCACGGACACCGGTTTCAACACGAACCAAATCACTGGCTTGAGGAGTGGCCAAATAACGTAATGGACCAGCACCGGGGAGGAAACCACCACGAGGATTTTCAGCATAAATACGAGCCTCAAAGGCGTGACCTTTACGGGTAATTTGTTCCTGAGTCACGGGTAAAGGTTCACCGGCTGCAATACGTATTTGCCATTCAACCAAATCTGTGCCGGTAATCATTTCCGAGATTGGATGCTCCACCTGAAGACGGGTGTTCATTTCCATGAAATGGAAACTCAGGTCTTCCTTGTCCATAATGAATTCAACGGTGCCGGCACCTACGTAGCCCACGGCTTTGGCGGCACGCACGGCGGCTTCGCCCAATTCACGACGTAATTCTTCGGATAAGCCGGGCTAAAAAGAAAGGACGTTATTGACATAAATTTTCCGAAAAACAAATTGAAATTTTAACAGGAGACTTACCGCCGGGGCCTCTTCAATAATCTTCTGATGACGTCTTTGCACAGAACAATCTCTTTCCCACAGATATACAGCATTACCATACTGATCGGCAAACACTTGAACCTCAACATGGCGGGGTGAACGAACATAACGTTCCAATAGCACCGAACTATCACCAAAGGATTTTTGTGATTCAGTACGTGCGGAATTTAAAGCATCCATAAAATCTTCAGGTTTATCAGCAATACGCATACCTTTGCCACCACCACCACGCACAGCCTTAATCATCAAAGGGAAACCGATCTTTTTAGCCTCCTGCTGCAAACGTTCATCCGACTGATCCTCGCCATGATAACCATTAATAATTGGTACACCAGCAGCATCCATAATGTGTTTACTGGTACTCTTAATACCCATATCACGAATGGCAGAGCTAGGAGGTCCCATAAAGATGACACCTTCCTTTTGGCAGAGTTCAGCAAACTCGACGGATTCGGATAAGAAACCATAACCAGGGTGGATGGCTTGGCAACCAGCCTTTTTGGCAATTTCTATGATACGATCACCGCGTAAATACGATGAGGCGGATGCAGCCTCACCCACACGATAGGCTTCATCAGCATATTGGGTGTGCAAAGATTTCTCATCGGGATCAGAGTACACGGCCACAGTGCGGACACCTAATTTGCGGGCAGTTTTAATAACACGGCAGGCAATCTCACCACGATTGGCGATGAGGATTTTATTGATTGGCCTGACGGAGGGTGTTGCTTTGGCGGAGTAACATCTGAAAGAATAGAAAAAAAGACAACAACAACGTTAAAGATAACAAGAAGCAAAAACAAACATGAACTTGACATCAAAACATTTATGTAACAACGTTCTCTGCAGAACGTTAAAAAACAAGTGTTTTTTTTCAGTTATTGATCTTCAAAATCAAATTGATAATTTAATATTAATTTTTTTGTAGATAATAGTTCTTTTTAATAGCACTCACCTTATATTTCTTAAATTCCTAATTAGTTGTGTATACATTTTATTTTATAAAAATTTCGTCTTAAACTATTATTGCACACCTGCGGAATTTGCAAGATCTTTTCCGTCTTATCACAATAGGGAATAGGGAACGAACTAGTTCATTGGAAATATTCCGAGAAAGGAACGAACGGAACTAGTTCCAGTTCTTTAATTAATATAATTCCTTTCTCTGATCCAGTTCCTTTTTTGAACTATTTGAAGCAAAGTAACTGTATGGAGCAAAGGAACTATAAAGAGCAAAGGAACTATATGGAGCAAAGGAACTATTTGGAGCATAGGAACTATAAAGAGCAAAGGAACTATATGGAGCAAAGGAATTTTAAATGGAAAAACGAAAAAAATAATGATGAAAGAGAGAGATTCAAAAGAACTATGTAGGAGTCGGAACTATATGGAGCAAAGAAATTGTATGGACTAAAGGAATTATATGGAGCAAAGGAACTATATGGAGCAAAGGAACTATATATGGAAAAACGAAAAAAAAAATAAAAGAGAGAGAGAGAGAGATTCAAAAGAACAGTGGGAAGCCTCCAAGACTCCAGCCTTCATAAAATTCGCTTGTTAATCGTCGTTCTGCCAAGACTCAAGCGACGTCGTACGCAAACCTTCGCCAACAAATGGTCTGTTCCAGTACTTTTTATACCCTCCACCATAGTATGGAGGGTATATTAATTTTGTCATTCCGTTTGTAACTCATCGAAATATTCATTTCCGACCCTATAAAGTATATATATTCTTGATCAGGGTAAAATTCTAAGACGATCTAGCCATGTCCGTCCGTCTGTTGTAATCACGCTATCTTCTGAAGGAATTGAGATAGGGTGCTGAAATTTTGCATAGGGTTGTCTTTTGTCTGCAGGCAGGTCAAGTTCGAAGATGGGATATATCGGTCCACGTTTAGGCATAGCTCCCATATAAGGGTACCCCCCAATTTTCGGTATTTTGGGGTTCTTGAGCGCGTTTTTCAACCGAATTTGTAGTAAATGTATCCACAAAAAATTATAAATATAGGTCCACTTTTTCTTGTAGCCCCCATATAACGGTACCTCCTAATTTTCAGTATTTTTTGGGTTTTTGTCGTATTTTTCACCGAATTGCCTGTAATTTAGTATTTTGAGTTCTTAGCAGGTACCAAATCTCTCCACAAAAAATTTAAATATAGGTCAATTTTTTTTCAACCGAATTCGCTGCAATTTTGTACATTGGGTTCATATTGCGTACCAAATATCTCTACTAAAAATTATAAATATCGGCCCACTTTTTCTGGTAGCCCCCATATAAGGGCACCCCAAATTTTCGGTATTTTGAGGTTCTTAAGCGCGATTTTCAACCGAATTCGCTGAAATTTGGTACAGTGGGTTTATATTGGGTACCAAATATCTCTATTTAAAATTATAAATATCGGTCCACTTTTTCATTTCAAATACCTGTCAGTATACCTGTGGTGGAGGGTATCCAAAGTTCGGCCCGGCCGAACTTAACGCTTTTTTACTTGTTTAATAGTAAAGCTAGTAAAAGGGAAACATTTCAAGTCTCAGAGTACAAAATAATTTGAAAAGTTCGGGAACGCAAATCAAGTAAATCTAGTAAATATGCCAAAATTAGATGGCAATACTTCAAAATCAACATAACAAAAAGTTTACAAAGAGAAAGCCATTTTGTTTTGTGCTCTCTTAAATTTGATTCAATGCTTTACCAGTTTTATGGGTTCAGGAACGGTTTTCGAGTAAAAAGTTGCAAAACTTGTAAAATTAGTAGATTCTTTTAGGTTTTGGAACGGAGCTAAAATAAAAACGACGACTGAAAAAATTGAAAAACGTTCCACCTGCTAACGAATGGGAGGAGAAGACAAAATGGCCGATAAAGATGAACTCAAAATGGTATAACCGAAAGTTTACGAATGAGGTGGGATAGAGACTAAATGGAAACCGTGTTGTTTACGAATGAGGTTTAGGCAAATTATGATTAGGGATAAGTAAATCGATTTCGGACTAATCGATTAATCGACTTTTTGTATTGAAAAATCTGAAAGTCGAAGTTGACTTTTGATCTTTAAGGCTATCGAAAAGTCGACTTTTCATGATAAACTTTCGATTTTCTTCATAAATTATTGGTTTATTATCATAAAACCTAAGTTACCCAAAAATTACACATTCCAGAACTTTATTTCATCTGTTGACAACAATTCTTATAAAAAATGTAATTTTTAGTCGATTTTTCTTTAGTTTGTAAAAGTTGAAAATCGATTTTGAACTGGTTTGACAAAATCGAAAGATCGACTTTTCGGTCAAAGGCAAAATTCGAAAAGTCTAAAATAGTTCATTTCATTTCATTTCATTTATTTCATACAATGTAATATAAAAAAGCCAGCATGGCCAATAACTTATATTAACTTATATATAAAAAAAAATAAAAACCCAAACAAAGAATAAACTAAATAAATTAAAAATACATAACAGCAAAAAACAAAATTCTACATAATGAAATTTAATGCAAACCGCTAACATAACAGATTCCAAACAAGAACCCCAATCCACTGCACTCTACTTAACTGTTGCTAAGAAAAGTGGAGGGGAAAGGAAGCTTAAGGAACCATACATATAAATATACTATATATTCCTCTCGAGCCCAAGAGCAATATCAGAACCACAGACATTAAATTCCATATGTATAAATCTATAACATAAATGCTAACGAACTTAAATAAAAATGGCTCCCCAGCCAAAAATTAAAAAAAAAGACAAAGTACCATTATGCAACCTGTAATCAGCGATTTCTTCAAAGCCAGCTTCATCAAATACGAGACAAATGCCCAAACAATTCCCTCCTATACGCAAAAGTGGAAGAGGTAAACTTACGAAGGCTCAAAGGGAGCTGATTCCACGATCTTACGACTCTAACTACAAATGATCTTTCACAAATTGCAGACGAAAACCTCGGATACAACAACTGAGGGTTCCGAGAGGATCTACACATCACAAACCTACTACACAGTGGTAAATCAACATTTCTCATAATTCTATAATAACACAAAAGGATACAAATTGGGAAACATGATGACTACGACCCAAACCATATACATAACGAACAATGGAGTTAACAACCTTTTGGAGCCGATGCAAATGACCAGAATTAGAGCCCGAAATAACCTCCAAACAATAGTTAACCTGAGACATCAACAACGACATAGCTACCTTCACCCTAACACCAAGAGGCAAATATGCTTGGACACTATAAAGCCTCCTAAGCTGGAATCGCACACGGGACAACAGAAGATCAATGTGGGTCGAAAAACTAAGTTTGGCATCAATAATTACACCCAGGCACTTCATTTCACCAACAATATTAATAGTAAAGGAACTAACGCAAATATTAGGCATAGAACCGTCATAACAACAATTGAACAAAACAGCTTCAGTCTTATCCCAGTTTATATCAAGACCATTGGAAGAGATCCACATAGAGAGAGATTGCAACGTTGTGTTAGCAAGATTCTCCAACCTGGCGAGATCAGCACTCCTAAAGAATACATGTATGTCATCCGCATACAAGAAGAGACTACAATCACTAGCAGTAACAGAATCCATGATGTCATTAATGAACATAATAAAAAGTAATGGGCCCAGTACAGAACCCTGCGGGACTCCACACCGGATTAGACCAACATCAGATTGGACACCCTTGTGCACAACAAACTGGGATCTACACTCCAGATACGACGAAATTAGTCTACAGGCCGAAACGGAAAATCCAAATTTGACTCTAAGCTTGCGAATAAGCAGCGCGTGGTCAATTGAGTTAGAGGCGAAAATCGAAAAGTCGACTTTCACGCTCGACTACGTATCCCTAATCATAATACACAGCTGTTCGGAGTCTCACATTTGTTATGAACGGCGTCATGATATTTTGTGTTCTTTTGTGTTATCGAAAAATCGATAATTTTTTTAATCGGTCGGCTGCTGTATAATGCCATGTTCTGACGGGTATTCGAACAACGTAGTTCCCTCTCAGAATTACGTACATGAATTAACCCGTTCATACAACACTATTCCTAATTCATGTCATCAGAGTTTTTTATTTCAAACTTTTTGTTTCTTGTTTTACGCCAAAATTCTAACATATTTACATGAATCACATATGGATCTAAATAGAAAAATTAATTCTCTTTCTCCTGACTATAGTATGAACCCATATCTATTTACTTTTAATTCATGTTTTCCATTTTTTCTGAAAATATTGTTGTTTTCATACATTTTTATATTTTCTAAATTCAAATGTCACATATAAAATTTTGGAGAATTTCTTGTTTGAGTGTCCCCAAATTTGTTTCTTGTTTTGTACGCTAATTAGAACCATGGGGAAAGAAATTCACATTGCATTATGTAGATAACAAAATTTACATCCTGCTGCATATATAAAAACTAGACAATTTTTTACTTTTCATTCATCATTTTCAATATTACTAAAAAAGTTTGAAAATTTTATAAATATTTTCAAGCTGTCAAAATTAATTTATTTTCGATAAATGCTCTCAGTTGTTAGGGATGGGACAAATTTCTTGGTGATTCAGAGAGTGATTCGAATTGAACAACGTACAAAAGTCGGTGTTCGCTCAGACAATTTTGTATGGAGAACTAAGTAATTACTTCATAATTAAGGGTCGAACAACGAATGAGAGAGCGAACAACGCTCGTCTGTACATGGCATAACAGTTAGTACATTCGTTATTTTAATATACAATTCAAAATGGACTCAGCAAGGCCCAATTGTACATCTGTGGAATATTGAAAAACCCCCTTTGGAATATTGAGACAACGTTTCCATGAGATTTAATGCAGATTTTAAAATTAATTTTGGTTTAGAAAAACTACTGAAATCCAATTGTCTAAATTGTGCTAATTATCAATAACCTATTGCTTGTCAGTGGCTAATAGCGATAACTATGACGGCGTTATTTAAAGGCTTTGACGCCGTGCATCCAGTACCAACTACTTTTAAAT